GAAAACCCCTGCTCTAGGAATTCAAAATGGATCTCAACATAACAAACTGCTCAGATTTTCCACAATACCAAAGTCTTGCGAGCAAAATCTAATATTTCAATATATTTTTAATAGACCTCATTAAATTTGTCTTCAACCAAATTTATTTGCACTTTGCTACACACATTATTTTTTCCCAAAACGTTTACAGAAAATATAACTTTTGCCAGACTAGAAGAATGCGTTCAGTTTGTTTTTTTTAATACAAAAGAAATATGTGCACTGAGAATTACTGGCAGATGAGCTGCTTTGCAGTTGAGTCCCAAATCAGTTGCAGCCCATCAGACGATGACACACACAACGTACACATAATTGAAACTGGTTAGCCAGGTTGTCTTTTGACACCTTAACAAGTGTCCTTGATGGCATTCCAGTCACCTGAGAGAAAGAAAAACTTCCCAGGTCTGGCACTCATTCGCTCTCTCTTTCCCCAACTCACTATCTCTCATTCTCTTTTTGCTTCCAAAACCACAAAAAGTGTTTTGTTGTGTGTGATTCAGGTTGTGCTGTGCAGCAGAAAAGGCAAACAATGGAGAGAGTGAGTGAGTGAGGGAAGGGAGGGGAGACAGAAAGGGAAAACAGACCTCGGGTCAGAAGTCTCAGATGACACAGGTGTTGCCTGCTGCCACCAGGAGTGGCACTAAAATTGGCAGGAGCTTCACTGCTGAGCTTCTTAGCGATGTGGCTGTTTGGCAGATGAGGACATGGCTGTGATTAGCAGCAGCGTACTTGCACTAACAGTGAATGACGGCAAAGGTAAAACCAATCAGAGGGGGGGGGCAGCTGTGAATGAATCTCATAATAGAGAAATGCTGTGCCAGACTGACCAACACTTTATCAGATGTAGCTAATGCTGGAAAAAAGTGTAACACCTGTAAAGAACAGCGAAGACCTGCACAAAAAATATGTAATGAAATTCAGACATTTAAGTGTCTGCAATATTTCAGGTTCAATTCAAGTTAAACTGAATTGACAGCTAAACTTTAGAATAATCAGCTAAAAATTACTCATCCCTTACTTTAAAAAAAATTTAAGGTTGAGGCACCAAGTTTAAAATAAAAAATGTGAAGCTTATTCTATAAAAACACTTCATTCTGCCATTAAAACATTGTATTATTTTAACTGTAAAGCTGTTTTAAATCATTACAGTTTGTTTTAGCGTGTATAGCATAGTGTTATTCTTGGTGACAAAGTTGTAAAGCTGGATATAACTATAAATAGAAAAAGGTTTTTTAGTGATTTTTCCACTTTAAAAGTTTGTCAAACATATTGTAAAAATTAAAATGAAAATTAGAAATGTTTTCTTGGTAACTACTGAAATGTTGAAGTTGAAGTACTAAAAAGACAAACTAAACCTAAAATAATAATAATAAAATAAAGCTAAAAAAAAAAAAAGACAAAAACAACATTTCTAAAACTAAAAATTAAATCTGAAAACTAAGAAAAATTAAAATAAAAAAATAAAAAGTCAAATCAAAATACTATAATAGTATATAAATAACAGTAAAATACCACTGGTCAAGTGGCTATACTCTTGAAAGGGTATTGCAAACTTTACGGATTAGCCCAAGTCACATTTGTTTTTGTTTTAGGGATTAGTCAAAATGAATTTTTGTGGTAATCATTACGCTGCTGATTGAGCTGAAATTTTAGTGACCCCGAATATTTTTGGACACTTGGGCTATGTAATTTGGCCTAACTGATAATTGCGCAACAACATCAACTTGCAGAAAATGACTGCGTTTAAATATATATATATATATTTAAACGCAGTCATTTTCT